CAGAGCCTTACAGTGAGAGCCCCAAAATCACAGGCTCACTGATGCAGGAATTTATACAAATAGATAGTAAGGATAAGGAACAAAGAAGTTAGGCAAGACTACTGTGATGAAAACTAGTTTTGTTCAAAGTCAGAAACCTCAGACGACACTGTAGAAACAAAATAAAAAATTGTTTGCAGCCAGCATCTAATACATCAGCTGCAGACCTAAGACTGTGTCAGGTCCTGCAGAAACAGAGAATTCAAAACAGAATCATAGAATCATACCAGGTTGGACAAGACCTCTAACATCATCAAGTCCAACCATTAATCTAGCACTGCTCAGTTCACCACTGAACCGCGTCTCCAAAATAGACCCAATTCCTACCATGAGCAAAGGTGAAGAGGGAAAGAAGAAAACCCAGATGGAAATCGGTTCAGGGGTTCACATGCCAAAACCACTCCCCAGGCAGGTTCTTTTTCCATGATCAGCAGGGTTTATGTGGTGACACCTTCTTTTCCTTCCCATTATAATTTGTTAATGTGCACCTGGCAGGACTACCAGCATGTCGGCACTCCCAGGTGTAAAAGGATATCGGCCTCTCTAAAGATACGGGCCTTGTGAAACACCACACCTCAGCACAGCACAGCACAGCCAGGGGCTGAGCTGCCCTTATTTGTACTCATGATTTAGGCTTGCATGAAAGACTCATAAACTCTTTGGGAAAAGAACAGTTACACATTTGTCTACTTTTTGTGTTCCAAGAACTTTTCTTGTTAGCTGCAAGATGACATTTTAATGAGGTTTCACGGCATAGAAAACATGGGACAATTTAACCAGCTCTGTCCACCCCCTCCCTCCCTTCCCCCCTCCCTCCCTCCCTCCCCAAACTCTTTCTGAAATGAGTTACCATGCGGGAACAAAAGCTTTTATGAGAATTTATGTCATTCGTGTGGAGGCAGGGGTGAGGTAAAAGTCATTCAGCTGCCAAACCTTGGCATCAGAGTGTGTGCTATTCCCTCTCCTGCCCCGCAGTGGATGGCAAACTGGCCTTGTTCACACCCGTGCAAGTTTCTTCAAAAGCTGAGGGGCTAGTGAGTGTTTGTTTGTTTGTTTGTTTGTTTTGGAGTCACAGAGAGGGCAGTGTAAAATAGCTGCGAGGCAATTCCCGTACAGTAAAATGGAAGTCTCTCTGGCTCTTCATTCAATACAATGTGTGGCTCAAGAGGATATCCTGCCAAACCAATGATAACGAGGGAAATAAAGTCACTTCCTCACCAGCTGTTTGATTCAGGTAGAAAAAGGAAGCGTTTACTTCCTCATGTTCGCTCTCCCTGCCGCCCCCTCGGTCAGAAATGCCAGGCAGAAATGCAGAAATTGCCTTCTCCCTCCACATTTCTGGTGAGGAGCTGTCAGATCCATAATGCTGCTCTGGACTCAGCCTGTGGGCAGCACGTCCTCCTCTGTGGCCGAGGAGCTGTGCCTTGCCTCTCGGGCTGGGGTGCAAGCTGAGCTGCGGAAGGGCCGAGGCTGAACAAAATTGGCTCATTCCACAAGCAAAGGATGCCCGTGTAATTAATGACATTTGTTTCTTGGACCAGAGCTGCCGAATTTGGGCCAGCAGAAGAGTGGGATAGTGTGATCTCTTTGTTTTGAGACTGCCCTGACTCAGTGCACTATTACACCTCCTAATCCTCCCAGAGTGACGAATTTCACTTCTGTCCTGGGCTCCCTGCAAATCCCTGGAACTCTGGCCAGGAACATGCTCTGTCCTCCCTACATACAGTCCAATGGGCAAGAAGGCAGTGAGGGGTTCCCTTGGGGCAATCCTCATGGCTTCCAATCAAAGGAGGCAAGGTGAAGCAGGCATCTCAGGAGCTTTGGTGCCTAAGAGGAGCTCAGGCAGAGCATCTTTCCCTTCACCACCACCACCTTTCTTGCTTCACAGAAACAGTCAACACAAATTTGCACAGTAAATCAGCAACAGACTGATTTGACTTAATAAAAGCTTCTTAAGAAATGGCTTTTTAAAAAGTTACAGAACTGAATGAAGAGTTCTTTTCCATATAATTTTTAACAGCCCTGATATAATTTTACATCCAGGATATAAGTTCCCATTAAATTTTGATGGTCTTAAAAGCAAGGTCTGCAATGATTTTCTTTCCAATTGTGTAAGACTTCCAGAAAGGTTGACCAAGCCAGAACTTGCCTCGGTCTATTTGCCAAGGGGACCCTTGCTTTCATTACAAAGAGTGCTTTTCAAAGGACATCGAGTGTTTCAAACAATTTTCCTAATCTTATTTATTTTAGCTGAGATTCTTTTATTTTAAACAGAGCAGTTTAGGTGACAAAAATCCAGTGACAAATACATGGGTTTACAGAAGACAAAACCTTATGAAAGGTTAAAATTCTGTTTAGGGTTCTCTTTGTGCTAAAATAGTTTTCAGCAACGGGTCATACTTCCCTCCTCCCACCCCCCTTGTTTTAGTACATAAAATGGACATGTGTTTATTTAAAACAGGTTTGAAACTTAAACAAATAGTGACAGGCTGTTCAAACAAGCTTCGGAAATAGGTCTAATCAGAATGTTTGAGAAGGGGAGGGGGAACGATCATAAAGAGCTACTTGTAATATATAGTGCAGACACCATTAGGTTGGGTTCATGTTATTGTTGTAGTAATCTCGGACAAAAAAGTACTGCATGCTGCACATTTTTTGTTAACATTCTTCTTTTGAGCCATAGGTTATGCCATATTTTTGTCTGGTGTCCAAGTTTTACTGTTCTCCTCTGTCCATCTCCCATACCCAGTACCAGAAGCTCTATGGAATCATTGGAAATGGTCTCACAGAAAAACTGGGAGGAATGTTCCTGAACTGGGATAGAAGGGAAACACAAAATACATTCATTTTGATATTGATACTGTGTATGCATACACTGTCATGAATATACAGAAGTGAGACCTTCCCCACAGAAAGAAACCATGAAAACCTTAACACTTAAATGTTTTCACATGACTTGTGTTTCCATGAGTTTTTTTTTTCATTTCCTCTCTTTTCGACCCATAATAATATCACCAAGTGTTGAACTTTACCCTTGTTGTATTTTTATAAGGCCGATCTTGAACTCCCTATACAGAGAAGGCTCCTGTGGAAGTCACTGAGTCTGTACTGGCGACAACAGGATTTAGCCCAGTCTGTAACATTTTAGGATATTGTGTTACTTCATAGCCTTAAGGAGAAATAAAAGCAGCTTTCCAAATAGCTGCACAGCAAACTGAGTGTGCTTTTTCAGCTCTGCAACAGCACAGCAGAATATTAAGGCCAGAGTTTGCAAATGTCTATGTTAAAAAACAGGCAGCTAAGCAAAAGTTGCCAATTTCTCTCTGAAATTAAGAGTTTGCATTAAAACATTCTATCCTCCCCACAAAAGGTTAAGCTGCATTCACTTAGGAATATACCTTTGGAAACCCAAGTTGGAAAATGATTGCCTAGAGGAACAAGCTGAGCTGAGAAATAGCAAGAGGCAGACGTGTTTTCACGTCACTCGCTTGGCCAGAGCCTGTGGCTGTTCTGCTATCAAGCCTTACCTACTTACATCCACTCTGACCTACAACATGCACCAATATTACTTAATGCAATAACACATTTGGAAGCAAATATCTATTATTTATTTGAATCTCACTCAGCGTCTAGTGAATAGATGTCAGAATATTAAAAATCCTTACACGCCCTCTTGTGGTAAAGCCACAAACGCGCCTCTTCTGACGACAACTGGAGATGCCTGATGAGGGAAGCTAATTTTACTACAGAATTTGATTGTCATTAACTCGGTTGGAAGGTTTACATTAATAATGGACACCTTTCTCTCCTCAGTTTCTGCTGTAAACCATTACAATATATGCATTATTAGAAGACAGATAGGCATTATTAGAAGACGGGTCAACTCCTAGCATAATAACATTGCAAAACAGCTAAAGGCACTATAACTTTAATAAAGAATGTGATCTTCTACCAAAAATGGGAAGTCTAGGATATTAAAAGTAGAGACAGAAACTGTCACGTTAGCTAGCTGTTTCATGGGCTTATTGCAATAGCTTGGGAGCAGACCTTAATTGGCAGCACAGTAAAAGAGTTGCCATAAATGATGCTATCAGTTTTGTCACATTTTTAAAGTCATTCAGCTTGGCTATTTACTGCTTTCGTGCCATACAGTATGATTTATCTGTCTCTGAGGAATGCCCTGAAGCGTCATGCTCGTTAGGAATTGCAGCCTGAAAGAAAGGCATTATGTGCGGAGTATCACCAATCCAGTCATTTGCCCAGTCAAATCCCACTGTATTTATAAGTCACAAAAACTTTATCTTTGCTATTTAAACAGCTTTTCCATTTGGTGCCTACGTGCACGACCAGATTTTCCTGGAGCACTGGACCATGGCATCACCCTTTTTGGTGACAGTTGTGAAAGATTATCATAGGTGTAACACAACCCTAACACCTTCAGTTCATATGGAAGAAACATCTGTGGCTAAGATGACAAAGTCTTCTGAGCCCATCCCCAGGGAACCAAACAAATACTGCCTTATTTTCAATGAAGCTGACCTGCAATATAGATGCTCCTTATCCAGTGGAAATGAAAGATTTGGAGAATGAAGGTTCATCTACTTCCTTTGTCTGTGTTTGTATAGACAACATTTAGGACCCAAAATAGTGGTAACTTATATTTTAAAATTCTGGTTCTGTCTTTTCTGTTAGACTGGGTGCGCCTAAAGCAGAAGTCACAACCGTAAGTAATTTCAGCAATATTTATAAAGAAATAGGTAGGAGAACTTTTTTTTAAGCACACAAAACAGACCTCCCAAATCACTATTTTAATAGGTTTGTGTGGTCTTCTTGTGCCAGCAGGATTGTTGGGTGACCCCTGAGGGTGAAGAAGTTGCCTCTCTTTTGCCATTCCCCTTGTCCCCCCAAAAAAACAGTAACTGCAATTCTGATATTCCTTTTCTCACTATTTCCCTTTCTAGGATGCCTTTGTGGAGTTGTATGGCAATGGTATGAGGCCTTTGTTCGATTTCTCCTGGATCTCTCTGAAGACTATCCTGAGTCTGGTTCTGGTGGGAGCTTGCATCACTCTTGGCGCTTATCTCGGACATAAGTAGAGTCACCCAGTTTATTGTGGATTACAAAAGTCTTTCAAAACAACAAAATAATATTTTTTTTTCTGTAGCACAATGATATTTTATGAGCAAAGCAACTTCCCAGCAAAAGATTAAATCAGCTATTACTGCCAAAGGAAATATCATTTATTTTTACATTGCCGGAAAATTATTTATTAAAAGATATTTACATTTTAACCTGCTATTTTCAGAACCTCAGCAAGTTGTATCTGTCATCACATCATGTTTTTATTCTTAACTTTAATGAGCCCCAGAGTATTTTACGTTCTTTTTTTTTTTTTAATTAATGCCGCTGGCTGGATTATTTTATCTCTGAAGAGCGAATATACTGACAAAGACCTACCTGCTTACACTTACAAGGGCAGTTACTTGAGCTGCTAAAAACTGCCAAATTGTGTTGAATTTCCTAGCATTTTCTGGGAGGGATTTGAGAGACAAGGTCAGCATGAACAATGTTCTCACCCTGTCCTGCTGGCAAGAACTGATGTAGTAAACAATTCAACATGGTACATATGTGCAGTCAAGACAGAAACTTCTTGAAGGACACTCTGCTATCCCTACAGGAGAACAGTTGGAAATATGATTGCCTATGCCTTTTAAACACGTGTTTTCAAGTTACCAGCTGTGCCATCACATCATAATCACAATACCCACATAACACATGTCAACTTTTTTTTTTTAATAGAAGTGTGAAGTTAAATCTTTGGGGCTCGCAGGAAATTGCTGTTCCAATGATTTTCTCAGCAGCAAAATGTTTTTTGTGGCTACTGACACAGAAACATCAGGAGACCTTAAGTGCCTGCTTCAACAGAGCAGAGCTGGAGTCTGAAGACCTGACCTGTGTCCCACTTTAGTGGGCTCATATCTGCAACTAATCCTGCTTACTTACAGAGTTCCTCTGGGGGTTTGAAACCAATTAGATGTGGTCTCTAAATCCCTGAAAGTTGAAAAAGATCTTAATTTTATTTGGCAAAAAGCAGACCTCAGCTAAGTTACAGATTAGCTCTGACTATCCTTGTTTATCAAACTGGACACCAAAATCTAGTTCATATTCATAACAGGAAAGGAAAGTGAGATTTATCATCCTGCCCCTCGCCCTCAAAATATTTTCATGCGAATAGTCTCCTAAGACTTTCTACAGAAGAAAAGCTGATGAAGAAACTCAAAATCCTCTCTCTGGACAGAGACTCTTCGACACCTCTCTTGTGCAGGTGCCTACTGTCATCTCAAGTGAAAATAGGGTGAAGGAAAAGGGGGAGGGGGAGGCGTGAAGTCATCTGCTCCTGTTACAAAACGCAACGCATGTGAAATAACACAGAGTACATAACACAGTTTTATAAACAGACCTGTGTTCAAAGCACGGCTTTCCCTGAGCTCAACGGGGGCCAGGAGTCCCCTGGAAACCGAAGACTCTGAAGCATTGAGTCCCAGGGGCTGCTCTGAGGCATGGAAATGTCCAGCTTCAAACGTTTTAAATCCTACGCTTCTATTTTTTCTATGAAACTTTTGAAATGTGGGATTTGTGGGTAAATGGATGTCCAGATATAAAAGGAAAGTTTGTAAAGTTCTGGATAAAATGTACCGTACAATACATAAGTGCTCAAAGGGTGAAAAACACACAGTGAATAAACTGTAGCTCCAACCTCAAGATTTCAGCTGAATAACTTTGTGGCATTATATGCAAAATATCTCCAGTAACTCGGGAATGTAATATGTTCAATGTTAAGGCTGTAGTTGATATTGTGTCTTCAAAGCTGCTTTTATGTTTGGTTGGTTTTTTTAAGAGTTGTACATCTCAGCATTTTTACTGCTATTTAGTCGTGGCACCTACACTTTGTATGAGCAAAGATGGGGCAAGCTTACATTTCAGATTTGAAATTACTTAATTTTATAGAAATGTAGAAAGGAAATATTTCTAAGAAGACAAAAATGTGAACTATGCTTGATTAAAGGAAAAGGAAAAATCCCATCATCAGACAAATAGTACTGCAGTGCTTTCAGAGTGCTTCTCTAAGAAGTGGGCATGGTCATGTAGGGGTTTTATGAAAAATATTTCAAATCAGAGGAACTGAGGAGTATTGTGGATTGAGTGTGGGCTTTGTTTTTTATCTCAGCTTACAAACTGAATTTGTTTGCAGCCAATTGCACAACTGGAATTGGCTGCTATTGAGCTTATGTTTCATTTCACAATCTAGTCTTCGTTTCAATTTGTGCCCATATGCCCATTAAAGTTTATGAACTATTAGACCTCAAATTGTTTCAACATTGTTTGTTTTATTAAAGGTTTACATTGTCAAAAGTAGTAAAAAATACCAATTCCAGTGCTGCTATAATACCAGGATAATTTGAATGGGGTTTTGGTTTTTAATACCTTCCAATGGCTAAAGTTTTTTTAAGCTGCTTTAGAAATAATATGAAGACGACACATGATACACAATTAAATGAATACTGAGGATTTTGTGTTCTCTTGTGTCTACTCACTGGACTTCCCAGTGTATTTGTTAGTACCAGGCAAAGAGAAGAGTCATGATGACTGTTGACGATTTTATTTTATTAAAGAGCTGATGGAGTTTTCCCATCCTGACTGCAGAATAGTACAGTATTGTGGCTGCATTAGGTATAATGATAGTTGATAATACATTTATTAAGAAAACATTTAGAAACATTGAATGTATATAAAAGCTTGAACTTCTTAAATAAAATCCTCTCTTCTCATTCCTGCATTTCTTTTGCAATAATTCCTGTCTTTCCTACTCTTCGTTACACTTCCATGTAAGATTTTTTTTCCTCCACAAAATGCCTTACAGACTTCCACGCTCAAAGATCACGCTTCAGTGAAAACCCATCCTCTGTCACTGTGTATGCACAGACATCTGACCACTCCCACCATATCCAAATTGTAAAAGGGGAAAAAAATATTAAAAAGAGGGACACTTCTGAAGTGTTTACGTATAGAGAACCAGAGATCAAAAAGGAAGGAAGAGGTCAGAAGTGGAGGGAAATAGAGAGATCACTGAACCATCTCCCTGGTTAAAGATGAGTGCTACCTGGAATTTGTTTATCTTTCATCCTTTCCCTTGAAAAAGGATGATATAAGGGCAGAGAAAAAGCTTGCTGAGACCCCACAATTATTTTTCACTATAGAACTTTGTTAATACTTTTTAAAAACAGCAAATGCATAGGCATCAAAGAGAAGTACTGGGTTTTGCTATATTCAGCTTAGGTGTCCTTAATTCTTTTTCACTCTATTTTTTAAGAAAATAATGAAGAAGAGTATTTTGCTTCTGAAAAAATAATCTGTAGGATCACCTGAGATCTGTCATAAATCAGTTACTTAGGAACAGATGAAAAAACTGTGCAAAAGTATTCTGAAATTAGAGGTGATACAGATGACATATCTTAATGGAACAAGCACTGGATCCACCAAAGGACTAATGGGGCTGTCGAGGTAACAGGGATATACATATAGAGATGAGAAAGGGAGCTGGAAGATATGGAGAATGACATTGGTATGTAAGAAAATCTTCATGTTGCAGGAGTTCATTCAAGATGGTCTGAAAATAACTGTTAACTAAAAGCAGCTACAAATGTGTGCACTACATGGCTATGATTACTAAAAATCTGCAATTACAAAATTACAGGTAAATTATTGTAAAATTATCTAGTCTGTAAAAGTTCATCAGTTTGCTGTTATGATTGGGGATTATATAGCCTGAGTAGTTTTGCACTAAGAAGGAGAAATTATGAAAAAAGAAGTCTGAAACCAGATGTGCAAAGGTAACACGAAGGTGATGCAGTTCAGAGAACACGGTCCCAGTCCACACAATCTCCCCAGCTGAGGCAGCGAGAGTCTGGACTTCATGCTTTGACCCTGGAGCATGACACTGCTTAGCTGTGCACCTGCACTTCACAAACCTATTGATTAAAGTATCGTGAAGTAGCATGTTTAAAGCCTTTCTTATTTTTCCTCTCTCTATCTCTGAACAAACTAACAAAATGATTTATTTCTATTACAAGGTTATGGCTCAGTACTATATGAAAAATTATACATATTTTAATTTATGGGTATAAAAATTCTTTCTCATTGCAAAAGTCCAGCTTTATTTTTTGTTCCTATCTCTCTTTCCAACAAGGCTAAATGCAAGGTAGACAAAAGAGCTAATTTAATCTGTATTTCATTTAAATTACACTTCTATACTAAGTTAATGCAGCTTCATCACACAAAGAAATTATCTTCAAAAAGTAATACAGCATTAAGAGTTCCACACAAAAACTATATATTTTTATAATTTAAATAGCAGTTTTTTTCCTTTTCTTCTGAATATTTGAATTTTAATTATCACCAGCATAAATGTACATAAGCAGATATTGTTTATCCAGTACCTTTGGATGATGTATGTATGGTAATGTAGTTTGTCAGTTTATCATCATTTAATATGATTATGTTGTTCTTTGTCTTTAAAATGTTATAAGAACATGCTGCCATTAAACTTTCCATGTCTGTCTAGTTTATATTGTGAAAAAATAATAAAAGCACACTGTGAGATACTTGTTTTGCATTTGCATTGTTTAGGATTTGTCAATAAAAAGCCACTCTGTCATTTTGGGTGTAATCCCATAAATGACACATAATGTTTCCTTCCTGATGGTTCTGTTCACCTGTTCTGCTCAGCAGTGGCCAGTACTCCCCAGCCTTTCTCACAAAGATGCAGTGACCCAGGTTTGAGCAGCTGCTGCTGTGTGAAATGCAGCCCCCAGGTGCAGTCTGCGCTTTGGGACCCAAGGACAGTGTCACCCTTTCTGCCCTCCTATTCATTTGATGCCTTGCAGAAAGTGCAGCAAGGCTCTTCTGTTTATTTGCTAAAACTGGGTTTCATTCTTGTAACCACAAGCTAGAAATGCACATTAGCAAGTTTCAACAGGAGCAACAGAAATATTTTTGTTACTGCTGAAGGTTTCCTACAGTTATGACCAAAAAGTGTTTCCAAAAAGTTTCCAAAAAGTGTTTAGGTATTTTGCTTCTTACAGGCTCCTGTTAACTCACCCTTGATTCACAGGGGTTGCCTTTTAACCTCTGTGGCTTTAACTCAGGTAGAACATAGCTAAATGTGTTCAGGTAATGAGTATTTAACTGCTTTAAGAATTTAACCAGCTTCTTGAGAAGGTTTTGTAGCCAAATGAGTGCACTGTGACGTCATGGATACACATTTTTTTGAGGGCCTGAAGTTCACAGTTTAATGCTTTTCAAGCATAACTCAGGCACATGTGCAAAACATCTACCCCTCTGTGTCCATGAAGACAGAGAAGGTAAAGGAAATCAGCCTGAAACTGAAAGAAGAGGCAACACAACAGAATGCAATGCTGGACTCTGTCCTCTGGGCTCTGGGATTTAACTGTCCAGCAGAGAGCAAGGTTACTAAACCTTTGCAAAGTAGAAGGTAAACCACATTGCAATAGGGCAGGTACTACCATTTCTCTCTGCCATTATTTTGTGAAATAAGAAGACAAGGTCTTGGAGGAGAGCAGCCCCAGAACTGTATTTTTTCTAGCTAAAACCTAACAAAGGAAGATGGGATTGAGTTTCTAAAGGGAGTTCAGCAAAACCAGGTAAATTAGTTCAGGGATTCTTCTCTTTATGCCCACTTAGATAACTCCCATTTTTCTTAAAAGCTAACAGATCAGCACCTGGGATTAAATGCTTACCTTACCACTGGGACCAAGCACAGTGAGCAGATGGGGAGAACAGAAGAGGTCCAGATAAAGACAAAATGAGCCCTTAGACCTGATAACTAAGGTGGGTTTTGGCTGTCTGAAAGTTAGGTAGGAGCACCCTAAAAAAAAAGTTTTGCTGGGCCAAAACCAGAAAGCTCCCTCCTCAAAACATTCCCGAGTGGTTTCAAGCACTGTAAGTCTCCACTGAAGCTGCACGAGCAGCGGTGTGCAGTTGTCCCTCTGCAGCAGCAGGCTCTCCATCCCATAATACCTATAGCTCCTGCTTTTGTCCTCCTCAATTGCTAAATATTTAATGGGAGTCTACAAGTGGTAGAAAGTGAAGTTCATTCCACTATGAACGGCTGGGTACCAGCTGCATGGCATTTAACTTTCACATAACGACTGACCTGAGGAGGAACACGTTAAGTTTCACTTAACTACTGACCTTAGCCTTCTGCTTGGAACTAACTTTTTGCTATCCAGATCTGCCTCTGAGGACATGTTACCCTGGGCAAAAGACAATGCAGTCAAGATTTGTGCACTGCAAGAAACTGATTTGCTCAGATGGGCAAACAACAAGGCAGCTCTTGAAGCATCCCATCATAGGCTGTAGTTCACTGCTTCCCACTACAATTGAGCACAAGTACTGAAAATATCCAGAATGGATCTCTAAAATCTTATGGGGATAAATACATGTCAGTTAAAAGCATGTGTATCTAATTTTTTTAAGACTTCTAAAAGGTAGTGCAGACACACTCCTTGCTATCCTGAAGCAACAAGAACACTGAAGAGTGTTTCTGGATTAGTTCACCTGGAAGACGCCTCTTCTTCTCCAGTGGGAGTGCCTATTCTGGTAGTGACCTATGCAACTCATATTTAATGTACTGAGTTACCTCTTGGATATCCTGGAGAAACACATCAGCCTGCCCTCCTCTGTGTGTGTCCTCCAGAACTCTTACTACAAGCACAATCACAATAGTGGGAATTCAATGCCTTGGTTGTGGTGAAAATTTGGACTCAGAAAAGGTCCTGGTCATACAGCTGAAAGTGTCCATTTGGAGCAGACAGTACTGATGCAAACCTTTATAAAGCCACAGGTGACAGAGACAGAAGTCAGGCAACCTATTTATTTGGGGATGAGATGGAAAAAGAGCCTCCTTCCCTTTCTTTGTCCACCTGATAAGCTGCAGGCACTTCTCTGCCTATGTGGTCAGAGATGCTGTCCAATGCCCTAGTTAATCATACCCTTGAGTTTTGTGCCTGTTTAAATTTCTCCCCACATGTACACTCCCACTCGAAAAACTCTGCTGATCCTTAATATATCCGGTAAGTAAACTTTTCCCTTTCCTGCCTGTGACTTCTAGATTATTAGTCTTCTTACCCCTCTAGTAACAAAAAGACCCTTTGGGAGGTAGGGTGCAATACATGTGGATGACACTGCTCATGGATTAATAATCATGTCCAAAGTGCATGTTTCAGGCTGCGCTACCGTGAGCATCAGCACCATGGAGGTCTCTGCACTGGTAGACCACCAGCATGGAGAGGCACATTTCTGTCAAAGCAGCCACAGACCATGCTAAGGGGCAGTGGGGGGGATGAATGACACCTGATCCAGCACCATCTAGTTAGAATAGCACAACTTTATCCCATTGTATCATGTTTGCATGGCAAGGTTTTGGTAGCTGTGGGGCTACACAGGTGCCAGAAACTTCCCCCATGTCCATTACAGCCAATGTCCACTGGCTCCGGGATGGACCCACTGCTGGCCAAGGCTGAGCCCATCAGCAACGATGGCACCACCTCTGGGATAGCTTATTTAAGAAGGTGAGGGAGGAAAACACACAATTGCAGCTGGAGAGGGGAGTGAGAATATGTGAGATAAACAGCCCTGTAGACACCAAGGTCTATGAAGAAGGAAGGGAAGGGGCTGCTCCAGGCATCCCTGCAGCCCGTGGTGCACACCATGGTGAAGCAGATGTGCCCCTGCAGCCCATGGAGGTCCATGGTGGAGGAGAGATCCACCCACAGACCATCAGAGCAGATGGGTGCACAAAGGAGTCTGTGAGCCCATGGGAAACCTGTGCTGGAGCAGGCTACTGGCAGAAGAACCTGCAGACTCATGGAGAGAGGAGCCCATGAGATTTGTTAGAAAGACTTGTGACCCCCCGGGGGAACTCATGCTACAGCAGCCTGTTCCTGAAGGACCGCACCCCATGGAAGTTTGTGGAAAACTCCAGCCCTTGGGAAGGACCCACATTGCAGAAGTTTGTGGAGGACTGTCTCCTGTTGGAGGGACCCCACACTGGAGCAGGGGAAGAGTGTGAGGACTGCTCATCCTGAGGAGGAACAAGTAAAAGAGACAACACGTGATGAATTGACTACAACTCCTAACAGCAGTTCCTTTACACTGCTCAGGGAGAAGAAGGTAGAGAAAATCAGGAATGAAGTTGAGCCCAGGAAGAAGGGAGGGACTGGGGGGAAAATGTTTTTAAGGTTTGGTTTTATGACTCATTATACTAACGTTAGTTGATTGGCAATAAATTAAACTAATTTCCCCAAGTCAGGTCTGTTTTGCATGATGGCAATTGGTAAGTGATCTCTACCTGCCCTTAATCTCGAGCCAGGAACCTTTCATGATATTTTCTCTCTGCTGCCTAGCTGAGGAGAGTGGTAGATTGGCTTTGGTGGACACCTGGCATCCAGCCAGGGTCAATCCACCATATCCATTCCCCAAAAAGCCCTGTTGCAGAAAGTTTAGTTACAGTAGTGGAGAAAGTGTTTAGTCAACTTGACCCTGCAGGGGAAAGCTTACACTGGAGAAGCACTTTATGTAATGAAATTACATAAATGCGTGCCATAGAACTACTACATAGTCTTTCAAAAAACACGCTTTTAATCAATTATCATGAATCCCAAAATTGGATTTATTGTTCCACTGACCCACAATAATCTTATGAACTGATGAGCATATCAGATGCAAACACTTAAAAAGTCAATGAATGCAGTCTTCATATTAGCGTGGCAACAACTTTGATACACCCTTTGTCTTTGTTGGGGCAACTACATCAGAAATTGTGAAAGGAGAAAATGCTGTGTTCAGAAAAAAAAACAGACAAAAAAAATAGACTGTACAGTACTGCTGCAGTGGAAGTAATCACCCCTGATTTACTTAAATTTTACTCAAAAAACCCCTCAAAACAAGTCACTTGTCAAAAAGCCTCTTGCTCTCACTGGGTTCAACCCTCCAGTCACTAGAGTGACAACACACACCTCCAGTTGCCCAAGCATGAATGCTTAGCATTCAAACTGCACAGCCTTTCACAGAATCACAGAATGATTTGGGTAGGGAGGGACCTTCAAAGATCATCTAGTCCACCCCCCTGTCATGGGCAGGGACACCATTCACTAGATGAGATTTCACATAGACTCTGGCCTCAAACACTTCCAGGGATGGGATATCCATATAGGACAGATAGTTTGAAAAGAAAGCAAAAAACAGCAAAAGGTTGGAAAGTGAATCCATGAGTCACATAAAACACCCTAGCAGGCATCAAGGAACTTTGGAAATGTACTTCCTTAAAGACAGGATCACTGGAAAAAGCTGAGAGGCATCACACCTCCCTACCTTTGCTGTGTCATCCCACAGCACTGCCAATGGCAAAACAAAGAGATTTTGGCTAAACAGCTCCTCTTCCTGGCCTCCACTGCCCTCTTCCCAGCAAACAGTGGAGGAACCCACTGGCAGGGCCCAGCAGTGCCAAACAGATCAGCCAACCTGAGAAAGGAGTTTTGGCAGGCCCACTTCCACGGCGTAAGGATGCCAGCAGCCTGTAATGCACGGGGCAGGCAGCGCAGAGCCCCAGCCTGCAGGATCATTAATGCAGGATAATTAATGCTGCCTTTCAGCGGGGAGCTGGGGCACAGACGTGCTCTGTAACGTTTGCACCAGAGCCCAGCCAGGAGCCTGGGCTGTCTGCTCCAGTGCCCAGATGCCGTGGTCTGAAAGGGACCACTGCCTGCACTGCTCTGTCCTCCGACAACGCTGCTTGAAGTCAAAACTGGCAGCAAGCCAAAGTGCTCTCTCATGAGACTGTAAATTAATGTTGCTGAAGGAAGCTGGCTAGTAGTTCATGTGGCTCTGGGTTTGCTTTACATCTGGTGTCAAACTTTGAATTCCCTCTGCAGCTAGGAATAAAACAGGTGAGGTGCCTGGGCCATTCAGCACCCCCTACACATTACTAATTTCCTTTCATCCAGGCCTTTAAAAAAAAAAATTCCTGATCATGCTACAGTTTTGAAATGTTATAGGGTTGGGGTTTTGGGGTTTTGGTGGGTTTTTTTGGTTTTGGGGTTTTTTTGTTTTTTTGTTTGTTTGTTTGTTTGTTTTATTTTGTTTGGTTTTTTTTTAACTTAAAAAGGCAGCTGTTATTTCTCTCCAGGCTTTGCAAACATTCTTCCCATTAAGTAACTCATTTACTGCTAGTGGCAGGCACAGCTTCCTCCAACTCGCAACTCTAAAAGAAGCTGATACCTTTTGCACGTTAAAAATGTGGCCACGGAAAAGAAACATATGTATTTTAAACAAAGATGCTCATTTTCAGCTCCTCCTCACTCCTTCACCTCACAGACTAGGTACCTAATAAGCCCTTCATTCCAGCTGCCTACCACCTAAATCAGCATGATTCCTTATCCCTGTGTTTTCATTAGGGACACGAAATCAATCTTTAACCAAGGACAAATAGCAATGCTTCCAGTTACATCCAAAAAACAACTTCCAGTTCTGGAATTAGACCTCAGTGCTGTTACTTTGTAGCTGCTTTCTTGCTTTCTGCCAAGATGGAGGGGGAAAGGCAGGGCAGTCCAGAGGTCATAAAAGATATTCAAGAAGTATAAAAAGAAAAATTTATACAGCTACCTCCAAGAAGAGATGAGACAGCATCCAAGGTTCAGATAGGCTTAACCTCCTCTTCACATCACACGCTTTTCAAAGCATGCTACCCACTTGAGAACTACTCCAATCATCATCTACTGGGAAACTCCCATTGATATTAACTGGAGCTAGGAAGAGAAATTTTAGTGCTTGCACTGGAAGTGGAGTACTGATAGCTGCAGAACAGCTTTAAGTGCTACACAAGGCTATTCAGCTCCCTGAGAAAAGCCTGGATCCTTCCTCAAATACTTTTACTTTTCTTAAGTTCAGGTTGATTGTGATGGGAAGCTATGTGGCAGGGGAAAAAAATCAGACAGCCATACTGAATATTGCTCATCCCTTATGAGGAGAAACCCCAGCTGTCCCTTGCAAGCTCCTTTGAAAGTAACATCAAAATCCATAGTACAGTCAGAAAGGTATTAGGAAAATGGACCATGACACACAGCTGCAGCATGTGTAACAAGTGAGCATGGCACATGCAAGCAGAGATGTGGTCTGGACTAAGCACTGTCCTTTGCTTTGCTTATTTAGCATGCTTGACAAGTGATGTTTTACCTCATGCTTTCCCAAGTCTTTCTGGAAGTAATTTCTCTATGTATCTCCAGAATGCCACCAACAAGCATATGACCAAAAAGCATCAATTTGCTTGCCTTAAAATATTCAAGTTCTCTCCTACTATGGAAATTGTACTTAAAAAAATAAGTCAAATAATTTTTTTTGTTTTAGTAGATACTTGGAAAGAATTAGCTAGTCAAAAAGATATGTCACTTTTGGCAAACAGAAGTATACACACCCACATAAAAAAAAAATCATTCCGTCCTTCATTTTCAACTGTATGTCCACTGCTGAATCATCCTTTAATTACAGCTGACAATTGCACAGATGTCTCCAATGCAGTTTGCTTATAAAGACACATTCATTGCAATGAAATACATGACAGACTTCACACTTAGCAGTTGTCAACATAATTTCATTAATGTGTCTTGAGTATCCACTTGCCCACCCCCACCCACTTCAAAACCAAAATTAAAACCCGCTTTTCTTCTGTCATCACATCCTCCAACAACTATCACCACTCACTCAAGTGTTAGGAAAATAAGTCACCGCTTTTTCCATAAAACCCATCAAAAATTGCTACTTCCAACAAAAGCAGTATACAAACAAACTCAGTCACAAATTAAAGAAGCCATTTTCATTTCCAAAGACCACATCTATTTATCTTCTTGAGCCATCCAATTAAGTGGTATGATTCACCGATGACTAGTAGCACAAATATACATTCATGTGTTAAGTTCTGTCAAAACATTACAAAATTAGCAGAGAGCAGCTACTGTTGTAAATTTAATGATGTACCTATGATGACTGTAGCTAACAAAACAAATGTTCCAGCATTATAAGAGCCCTTTTAATATATAAATATTTCCTCTAAAAATAAGTTTGCACACTTAAAAGACATTGTTTGTATTGGGTAGAAAAGACCTAAATGTTCTCACTTTTGAATGTCAGACAAGCTTATCTTACATATGTGTAGGGTAGGAGGCCCAGTGGAGACAACAAATGGGACTCTAAACAAGAATGCCCAAGCCCCAATCCTACACAGGGATTGAGACTAGGATGGAACATGTCTACAGATGGAGCCAGTTATCTGAAAACCAGAGATGTTCACAGATTTTAGTTTTTGATTAGAGACATCAGTCAAAAAACTACTCGTGACTCATGCTAAGATAAGTTTTATAGTATGTCAAAGAATTAAACTACTTCTTGGTGTCATTATTGAGAAGACTGATATGCAACCTGCACTCCTGAATTTTGCCAACTTTGACGTAAAGGTCTTTTGACTAGGACTTGGTTACAACACTGCTCAGTCTTCATGCACTCACAGGAATAGAAACAA